AAAAAAAAAAAAAAAAAAAAGTGCTTTAGCTGGTACAAGCTCAGAAAGACTGTCTGTAGAAATGGGCATTGGAAGGGATTTTCTTCTTTTCTCACTCCTAGGAGAGGCAGGTAAGTTGGGTGCCTGATGGGTGGGATTATGGAAAATTCATAGAAGAAGCAAAATTTTGATCATAGAACTATTACTGTGAGACCAAATTGACAAAATTTATGAGCCTGACATTAGCATGATTAGAGAAGTTGCCCCTCCTTAAAGTTTTCTATCTAGTGGAAGGAATAGATGTGTGACAGGTACTTAGGGTAATCTGTTCTATGGATCAAATCCTCTAATTTAGGAGACAGATGATGATATCATTTCCATCTTGTTGGAGCATCTCATTCTACACTGTTGTTTTCCTCATGACGGGCTTCTCCACAATGCTAACTACTGTATAGCAAGCCCACAGCAGAGCTCCGCTGTAGGAATTTCCTGCTGCTTTCCTGGTTCTCTATCTGATGTATGAATTCACCTTTATAGTACAAAGTGAACAGACTGTGCTCAGAACTGTAAATCTGAAATCCAGAGTTAACAGAACTGAGACCTGAGGGGACTAGCTGGGAGTTTAGAATCAATATTTGGGCTATCCAAAATAGGAATACTGACCTAGACAGATAAAAGAACTCCCTTTCCTTTCTTTCTTTCTTTCGTTCTTTCTTTCTTTCTTATCTTTGATGTCTCTATATGGTATTACCTTGTTTGAAGTCATGGCTCTCTTTGCATTTGAGATAAAAGTACATTTGGTCATTGAAATTGAGTTATGACTAAGCAAATAAGGGTGTGGTATATGATTATGTGGGTTGTGTATTAACCAACTCCAGGGGACTCTGTTTACTTTAGAGTGTCCACTGCCAAAATCATTTTCTGGAATAATGGAGCATTCATAGGCCATGGATTGATCTCAGAGATAGATTCTATTTCATGATTGTTGTCCCTTGCACAGCCTAGGGTGGTTAATAACTTTTCCCAAAGATTTTCTAAGTAGAATTTCTAAGCAGAATATTCCTTCTAAGTTCCTTCTCAGAATTTTGAAAATATTCTAGTTGCACTAAAGAAAGTGAAGCTATCAGTGTTGCAAAAGTAGTTACTTTCAACCAAGAAGAAAATGAACACAAAGAAAAAGAAAAGTTGAAAATTGAACATCTCAGATAATAAATTCCAAACCAGTTTAGCATAAATCTTACTACCGTTAGATAGTACACCTAGGAGCAGGATTATAACTACAAATTGGTTCATCAGTGGGTCTTTCTTTCTCATTTATGAATGTGCTATTTAATGTGATGTTGGAAAAATCCCTTGGATTTTTTAGATCCTGTGTTTCATTTTTTGTATAATGTAGATGATGGTATTTCACGTGGTTACTTGATGATATAAATACAAGCACTTCATAGAAGGCTGAATATCAAGAAACATTGCGAAGGGAAAATAAAAATGGTCGAGTATCTATCAGGAAAAAAATACAGATGGGACCTGGAACCCAAACAACTGGAAAATAACAATTTGGCAAAAAGATATAAAATAGGTATCTGAGATTTCAGAGGAAAAGACAGGAAAATTAGAAGCTGCAGAGAAGTTGGAGGAATGGACTACAATACAGAGAAAAGAATGAAGCAGTCAAGAAGCTCACCCCAGCTCTCGGGGAGTGGAACCTGCCTCTACAGACAAAAGCTGAACTCCTAGGTTCAGGAGCTCAGGGAGAAAAAATGGAATGCACTCACTGCACTAACCTCGAGAAGAATCTGTAACTATTGTAAACTGCAAGGGCTCCTTGAAGTTTTACTCTGAAATTGACACCTTCCACATGGCAGGCTATCGTTGGGGAAGGAATCCAACACAGTGCCTGCCATATTCCCAGAGGGTGTTTCATCAGGAACTGGATTTGTTCTCCAACTGTTGCCTGCTGTGTGCAAGGTGTCACTTTCAGAGTAAAACCCCAGGAAGCTCTTCCACTGATAAAACTTTCAAATTTTACTTTTTAAATACTCCAGTTTCCCATCCCCATGTACTTTTTCCAGGATAAGTATAAAGCTTTATTAATTATTATATTATTATTGAATACTACTCTATTGTTAGCAGAAGTAAAATAGTAGTATTTAGTGGATATTTATTATGGACCAATATTTGGTTTGTTTTAATTTTTATACTATAATTATAGGTATCTTTTCTATGGTTAAGGGTGGTACATTATTGGTTCTTAGGATATGTCATATCCAGTTTGGTTTTTTTTCGCCAAGTTTGTCTTTTATGCCATTATTGTTGATGATTTTATTATTATAATGACATGCATAAACTGTTGCTAATAATTGTTTTTCTCTGGATGCCAATATCTGCATTGCTTTTGTGTCATTAATAATGCTGGAATTTGTACCGGGGGAACTGTGTACTATGGCAAATATGCTGCAACCTTCCTCCCTGAACAAATAGAGGTGGTTGGATCCTGGGGCAGGCAATGGCCAACAGTTAGCAGAACAGTTAGCAACAGTTAACAGTTAGTGCCCAGAAAGCACTTCTGAAAAGCAGATATTAAAAGTGATCTCCATATCAGCTACAAAGCTTTCCCTTATAATTAATCTTGAAGCCTCAGCTCAAAAATGAAACAAATAAATATACAAAAAGATAGAAACTTGAGAAGAAAAGGCAACAAAATGCTTCCCCATAAAGCTATTGTCAGAGAATAGCTAGAGATACCTTAAAAACAACAGAACATGAAAAATGGATCCAACAGCTTCTAGATGACACAAAGAAGCTAATGTAATTTTAATAGGAATTAGGGAAAAATCAGAATACAATAAAAACTGGATGAAAAACTTATCTACTAAAATAACAACAAAAAACTTTCCAAATATGGGAAAAGAATTTAACAAATAGATAAGTGAGGCATATAGAATCCACATAGCTATAATCAGAGAAGAACCTCTCCATGAGACATCATAGTCAAAATGTCAGAAATCCAACACAGAACAAAATCTAAAAATCCTTTAGAGAAAAACAACAAATCACTTATAAAGTTAAACCCATTGGAATTGTAGTAGACTTGTCAACACAAACCAAGGCCAAGAGAACATGGAGTAAAGTGTTTCAGGCCCTGAAAGAAAACAATTCCAATCCAGACTGATATATCCTGCAAAATTATCTTCCAAAATTGATAGAGAAATAAGATATTTTCATGATTAAAAACCACCTAAAAATTCATAACCACCAAATCAGCACTCCAGAAGAGTATCAAGGATACCCTAGAAAGAGATAAAAGGGCTAAAAGAATGAATATACCAGGTAGGATGATCAGTTAAATAAAAAGGAAAGGATAAGCAATGGGAAAACAATGTAATAACAAGAATTTGTAAATATGTTTCAGTAATAACTCTCAATGAGAATGGTCTCAATTACCAAATCAAAAGACAAAAATTGGCAGAATAGATAAAAAGCAGAACTAATGGTGTGTTGTATACAAAAAAAATTTAACCCCCACGAAAGATCATATACTATAAATTAAAGGCCAGAAAGCAATGTTCCATGCAAAAGGAAGTACACTGAATGTACACTGAAGATATAGGATCAGGTAAAACATCAACACAGTCATGTGGGGGAACTCAGTACCCCATTCTCACTAACTGACTGATCAAGTAGACAAAATAATCAGCAAAGAAGTATCAGAGTTGAACAAAACCTGCAAATAAATTAAATTGACAGATAAAATGCTCTATCCACTAACAGAATACATATTCTTCTCCGTGGCACGTGAAACTTTCTTCAAAAAAGACCACATAATAACCCATAAAACATACTTAAGTAAATGCAAAAAAATCAAAATTGTACCATGCACATTATCACATCATAACACAATAAAACTGGAAATCAATGGCAAAAGAACTACAGAAAGCATGCAAATGCATAGAAATTACACAATATTCCCTGGAACAATCAATGGGCTACAGAAGATATCAAGAAAAAATAAGTTCCTAAAATTAAATGATAATTCCAGCACAATATGCCAGAACTTAATGTACACAATAAAAGGAGTCCTAACACAGAAATTCATATCTGTGAATGCACACATCTAAGAAACAGAATAAGCCCCAATATGACAATGATTCACCTCAAGGTCCTAGAAAAACAAGAACAATCCAAACCCTACACTAGTACAAGGAAGGTAATTGTAAAGATCAGAGTAGAAATCAATAAAGTTAAGACTTGAAAAAAGCACAAAAAAATCAATGAATTG